GAACTAGCCCCATCACTGCCTCTGCTCTTGTGGAATTCCACGAAGCAGCCACTAAAAGAAACAGGATAAGTGCAGGTGGTGATGAGTGCTGGGGAGAAAATGAAACACAAAGATGTGCAAGAAACGGGCTCAAGGCTGCTGTAGCAGGAGTGGCCAGTGAAGGCTTCCCTGTGGAGCATTTGAGGGTACATTTGAGCTAAACCCCGCTGATGTGGAGCCAACCAGGTGACGCTCTGAGAGAAGCGTGTTTCCGGCCGAGGGAACAGCTTGTGCAAAGGCCATAGCAAAGCCGTCCGTCTTCTTTATTGCACAATCTGCTTCATCAAATTTTCCACTTCTTACATTATACTTTCTCGTGGCCACTAGACTGTCCCTGTGTTCACAGCAACTTCTGCAAAGCTGGTCCACATTATTCCCCTCCTCATCTGTTCTATTCTCTCTCTGCCCATGCAAACCTCCTCCCTTCTCTGGCCCTTCAGCTCCCATCCCCCGTTTTAGAAAACTTCCCCTGGTGATTCCTGTCCCCACTGGTCTCTCTCTGGGGTGCCTCTAGACTGAATACTTCGTTGTACACCATCCTGGTTCCCAGCCCACCTCTTCATCTTTCTGGGGCAGTCGTGCCTTCCCAACAAACTTGTCCCTTTTCCCAGGGCAGGAAGCAGAACCAGGTCTTACACTCTTCCTAGCACTCAGCTGAGACGTTCATTAACACCTATGGATTGCCCGGTGCTCACTCTGGGGAAACTGAGAGGCGTGTCTGCCCAGGCAGAGTGGAAAATCCCTGGCTGGGGGAAGGGCTGTGGAAATTTCTTCTTAACCTTCTCCTTCCAGACTTGAACTTGCTCCAGAAAGCAGTCAAGCATTTGCCCAGAAACCTGCAAGGCGGCTCTGTTATTCCTCCGGCCCCCACCCTCACCCCACCCCGCCCCAGGCTTGAACCTGGGGAGCAGTGACGGGGCGGGGCTGGGAAAAGCAGCGGAGACAGCTACTGGCAGCTGAGCTCTGCCTCCGAGAATCACTCTTGAGGTTATCCAGTCCCACCATCTCAGTTCAAAGGTAAATAAACAAGGTCAATGGCAAAATCATGCTAGACTGCAGGGCTCCCCTCTCCCAGTTCAAACTCTTTCCATTGCCCCGTAATCCCCAGTTTCCTCATCTGAAAAATGGGACTAATGATAATAGTACCTTACTATATATAAAATAGATAAACAATAAGGTCCTACTGTAGAGCACAGGGAACTATATTCAATATCTTGTAAGAGCCTGTAATGAAAAAGAATATGAAAAGGCATATATAAATGAATTACTATGCTGGGCACCAGAAATTAACAGCATTGTAAACTGACTATACTTCAGTTAAAATAATAATAATAATAGTACCTACTTCATAGGACTGGTGATACGTTAAGTGAGTTGAAGATGTAAAGCATTCTATAAATATGAGCCCTAGGCCTGCCCTTCCTGTAGCCCCACGGTGGAGTGGGCAGTTTCCATTCTGCCTGCTGCTGACTTCTAAGGGACTTAAAAGAGGGTTTGAAGTTATCATTAGGGGCTGGCAGTTTCCAGTGAGGACCAGCCCGGGTTGTCCGTAGACTAATGTCCACAGCATGTCTGGCCCCTATGTCTCCTGCTGCTTTTTTAAATGTCCATAGGTGCAGTTTGGGTGAATAAAACACGAATTCACTTAACATTGTTGCTGAAGTCACAGGTTTTTCATATCTTCACTCCGTCAATGATAGCGAAAGTCAAAATTTTTGGAGGCTCAGAATGGGTTGGGGGCCACTGAGACAGGTTCTCCAACCTCAGCCCTTCTCTCCTGGGGGCTCAGGCTCCTCTCCTGTTCTCTGAGACGAGCCAGCCCGAATCAGCTCTCCGACTCTGTCCCAAGCCCTTGATTCCCCACTCCCCTCCAAGGGAATGGGAATGAGGTCGAGGGAGGCCCAAGGAAGAGAGTGAGAAGAGCTGCTCTCACATCCTCAGGGATGAACTCTCATTCTTCCTCCTCTGGGAAGCTGTCCTCACTCTGGCTCCGAATTCCTAGAACAGACAGGAGTCTGCTAATCCATCGCCCTCAGCCAGCGGTTCACCACTTACCACCTTGTAGGTGTGGGTGCAGTGAGGCTTGACTGGGGTCATTTGGACCTGGACTGAGAAGTAGAGAGGCATAAAAGTGCTTGACAGTGTTGTGCAGTATTGGTGGGAATTTAAAATGGTGCAAATGGTGTAGAAAACAGTATAGTGGTTCCTCAAAAAGTTAAAAATAGAATTAATCATATGATCCAGCAATTCCACTTCTGGGTATGTACCCAAAAAAAGTGAAAGCAGGCTCTCAGAGTTATTTGTACACTCATATTCGTAGCAGCATTATTCACAGTAGCCAAAAGATGGAAGCAACCCAAATGTCTATTGACGGATGAAAAGATAAGCAAAATGTGGTATATCCATGCAGTGGAATGGTATTCAGCCTTAGAAAGGAAGGAAATTCTGATATTTGCTGCAGTGTAATTGAACCTTGAAGACATGGTGCTGAGTGAAGTAAGCCAGGCACAGTAAGACAAATACTGTATAATTCCACTATGTGATGGATCTAGAGAAGTCAAATTCATAGAGACACAAGGTAGAATGATGATTGCCAGGGGCTGGGAGGCGGGCAATGGGGTATTGTTATTTAGTGTGTATGAAGTTGCAGTCTTGCAAGATGAGAAAGTTCTGGGGATGGCTTGCACAACAATGTGGATATATTTAACACTACTGAACTGTACACTTACACATGGTTAAGATGGTACATTTTATGTTTTGTGTATTTTACCACAATTTAAAGTGTTTGGAAGTGGCTCCAATGGGCTTCTCTAGGAGATGGTGGATTTGAGATGTCATGGTCCTTTCCATCCTCCTTTTCTTTCACATATGTTTGTCGAGCATTTGCTGTGAGCTGGGTACTGTTCTAGGCACACAAAAAATGTAGACTGACATTCTGTTGGCAGAGACAGGCAAGAAATGAAATTTGAACCAAAGTTCTTGTAGCTTCTCTTTGCTTTCCTTTTCTTGGTGAAAACTTCACCGTATTTATACTAATGGAATCATAATTATGGAACTATAATTTATGTTTTAAAAATTCTAGAGCTCATTTATAGACTTTTGTGTGTGTTAAATTGTTTTTAAATTGAGGTATAATTTGTATACAGTAAAGTGCACCCTTTTATTAGGTGTTCAATTCTATGGATTTTGAAAAATGTGTACTTAAAAAAAAGGTTGTATTGATATAATTTACATACCATAAATTTCATCTGTTTAAAGTATACAATTCAGTGGTTTTTAGTATATTCACAGAGTTCTGCAACCATCGCCAAAATCAATTTTAGAATATTATCATCAAAAAGAAATTCTGTACCCATTAGCAGTCACCCCATCTCCCCTCTAGTCCTCCAGGTCTAAGTAACTAATCTACTTTCTATTTCTATGATTTTCTTATTCTGGACATTCGTATAAATGGAATCATACAATGTGTGGTCTTTCATGACTTACTTCTTTCACTTAGCATAGCATTTTTGAGGCCCATCCATCTGATATCATGGATTAGTACTTCATTTCTTTGTATTGATGAATAATAGCCCATTTTTTGAATCTTCCATATTTTGTTTATCCATTCGTCTGTCGATGGACATTTGGGTTGTTTCCACTTTGATATTATGAATAATGCTGCTATGAAAATTCATATATGAGTTTTTGTGTGGACATATCTTTTCATTTCTCTTGGGTGTATACTTAGAAGTGGAATTGCTGGGTCATATGGTAACTATATTTTTAACACTATGAGGAACAGCCAAATTGTTTGCAAAATGGCTGTGATTTTTCAGTCCCTCCAGCGATGTGTGAGGGTTCCAGTTTCTTTACATCCTTACCAATTATTGTCCGTCTCTTTGAGTATAGCCATTCTGGTAGTATGAAATGGTATCCCATTGTAGTGCTGATTTATATTTCTGTACCAACCAATAATGTTGAACATCTTTTTATGAATGCTTATAGGTCATTCGTACACCTTCAGAGAGATGTCTATTCGAGTCTTTTGCTCATTTTTAATTGAGTTGTAAGAGTTCTAAATCGTATATCATATATATAGATTTGCAAAATATTTTCTCCCAATTTGTAGGTTGTCATTTTACTTTCTTGATTGTGTCCTTCAAAGCACAAAAGATTTTAAATTTTATCAAGTCCAGCGCGTTGATTTTCTCTTTTGATACTCATATTTTGGATGTCATAGCTAAGAAATCATTGTCTAATCCAAGATTATGAAAATTTACTCCTTTATCTTCTTCTAAGAGTTTTATAGTTTAGTTCTTCCGTTTGGGTCTATGATCCACTTTGAGTTAATTTTTGTATGTATATACTTCTTTAAAAAAATCAGGGATTCAGGTATCATTTGCATTCAATAAAATTCACCAATTTCAATTATACTGTTTAATTAGTTTTATCTTGTATACTTTTAATCCTTCAGTACTGTTAGTTTTTTCCCCCTGGGAAGTTAGGGATGGGGAAAAAATGAGTATGTGCCCGTTTTCTCTTTTTTCTTATGCCCCCGGGGTTTGCTTATAAATGTATGTGTGTCATTATGTGAGAGTGCGTATGAAAGAGAGAGAGAATTTTGATTTTGATATCAGCTTCTTAAGGGTTCCCACTTACTTTGGCTTACTCTTGCAGCTCCATGGACCCATTTAATTATATGTAGGTTGAATGAATGAACACAGTAATCAGATGACAGTCAATCAGTATCTGCCCTCAGAGCCTCGGTACCCCACGGCCACAGATGTTTCCATGCAGCTGCCCACTGTTGGGATTGAGATGGAGATCCCCCAGCGGCACCCCTGCGTGGATGTGTCTCGGTTTAATGGGCTGTTTTCTCATTGTGATTCCTTCATAAAGAGCCCCCCTTTCAGGATAATTACAGGGTCCTATAATAATCTATTAATTGGGCCTGGTTTCTGTACCTCATGTTTCCTCAGCCTTCTGCTGGGCTGCCCCAGCAGCACTTGGCCACCTCCTGCAGCAAGAGCAGGATGCAACTGAGCAGGACACCTGCGCTGGGGAACCAGGAGGGCTCAGGGAATCGAGCAGAAGGCACAGGAGGTAGGAGACCACACTTCCCACCTTAGCCCTGCAGCTCTGCTTTCTAAGCCACTCTGGGCCTTTGAATTTCTTCTGAAACATGAGGTAGAATTAAAGGAACCTTATGTGGGTACTGAATATGCACTGGGCTTAGAAAAATATGGCTTCGAAATGAAGCTGACTGAGCACGTTCCCCCCTCAAATGATTTTTTTTACAAGAATTTATTAAGGTTATATATTGGCATGACTGTTGTTAAGATGATGACTTTTGAGAAGATGTTAGAGGAAGGCCAGGCCAAAGGGAAAGGGTACAGGCTCCACCACAGCCGGGCTGCCAGCTCTTGCCCAGCCACTGGCTTCTTCTGCCAATGGTGAACTCCAGCCATGCTTTTATACACAGCATTTCCTCACTATTATCCCCATGTTAAGAGGAGGAAACTGAAAGTGACTTGCTCAAGGTCATTGGCTAAGCAATGTCTGAGTCAGAATTTGAACCCAGATTTTACCAACTCTACTGCATGGTGGCCTTACCCACTGAGACACTACCTCCCTTCTAGGACCTCAGCCATTAATATTCCTCCAAACTAGGTGGCAGGCATAGTAAAACAACAAAGTGTTTCCACTCTGCCCTCCTGTCTCCTTAGCCTGAGAGTTTGAGACTGGTGGGGGAATCTCGTATTGTCTGAGCCAGTGGAGAAGGGGGATGATCATGCAGTCAGACAACTAGGCCTGAGGGGAACCCAGGGGCAGGATACAAAACAGGTGCATACAGTGGGATTGGAAAACCACTAAATTTTCAGCACTGCCCTGGTGAAGGATGAGGCAAGGGGAGGCAGAGGGGTGTCATAAAAGGGCTGGAACTTGCTTTGGGCCTTAAAGGAAGGGCAGGGTTTTCAGGCAAGACAGAAAAAGATCACATCCCTGGTGGAGGGCACTGGAATAAGCAGAGTCTGGGGCTAGAGAAGGGGGCAGGCCAGGGGAGTAGTAGAGAGTGGTGAGCGGTCAGCCTGAATAGGGTGATTAGGGCCCAATACTAAAGGTCTTCAAAGGCACAGTGGGATCTGACAATAGGGAGCTATTGCAGGTTCTCCAGTAGCATCTTGACAGGGTGGGAAATAGAAATAAGGGAGAGAATCCTAGATGAAGGGAGGCAATCAATACAAATTTTGTAGGCCAAATAGAAGGATTTCTGAAAGCATTTTCCAAAGCTGGATTTTATGTGTGAAGTCTTATAAGCTTTATTAGCATTCTATCTTAGTGACAAAAAAGGCTGCTCCATCTTCTCTTCAAGAGCCCAATACCTGAGACAGAGCTCCCTGCTGCATCTTAGGAGGCCGAAGAGCCCCTACCTGGGGACCCTTCTTTCCTGTGGGGGGATTTTCAAGCCCTGTTAGGATGAAGAAAGATAGTCTGGGCCTCAGAAGAAGGCATCTCAGCTGAGCTTTTGTAGGAACCCACGCTTTCCTCCCCCTTCAGTCTGACCATCTAAGAGGAGTCTAGGATGCTCACTGCCTCCTGGTCCAGGAGAGGAGTTAATGCTTACGGTGCCATCCAGCTCCTGTCTCCAGATACCAGTGAGACTCTCTGTTCTGGAGGTAGACACCATTGGTTTCCTCTTTAGGGGCTGAGGAAGCACAGCCATGAGCATTGGTCCCAATCTCAGTTCCCCCAGGAAAGTGCCCGCAGACACCAGCCAAGTGCTGAGGCTGCTTCACTGCCAGCTCCGCCCTGAGGGGCTGGACAAGGTCAGCCATGATCAAAAGAAGACAAAATCATTTAAAGGTTTGGGCCTCTGTTTACGGATCTGTAGAACATTATAAACTCCTGCCCCACCCATTCCTTACAGGGTGGTGATTAGGAAGATATGCTCAGAAGTAAGGGCTCTCTTCAAACTGCTCTAGGCACCTTTTTACTTGTTACCACTATTTTCAAATATAGCTTGAACCCAAGTTCATTCATTTTTGGGAACCAAAGAGATGTGAGTTTTCTAAGCCATCCCAAAGTTCAAGATTCTGTGTCAGGATCCTAGATGCAAATGCAGATTCCTGGGGCCCTGCCCCAGACACACACAGTCAGAATCTCCACCAGGGCCCAGGGATCTGCATTTAATGGGAGCCCCAAGAGATTTGACCATACACTCAAGCAGAAGAATTACTGTCTTACAGTTGGGCAAACAAGGCCTGTCTGGGACCAGGAAGAGAAACAAGGGAGATAACAACTCTCCAGAGGCTGGTGTGGAAGGAGGACTGGCCATCAGTCACAGGGAGGGAGGAGTGGGAAGGGCCTTGGCCTTCATCTGGCCCAACACCAATTTCACTGATAAGGAAACTGGGGCCCAGAGAGCACAAGTCCAGGTCACCCAGAACATTCATGAAGACAGGCCAGCAGTCCCCTGGCTCTCTAAGCCCTTCCCACACCACCTGTGTGTGTGTTGTGTGCTCTGCTCCTGCCTGGGCCACACCTCCTCCCCGTGGCAGGTCATGCCCCTCTCTGAGCCCTAGGTTCCTTGCCCAGTCAGAGACTTGAAATAAGTAGTCTTTTTCAAACTCCATCTCTGTAGCCTTTACATATCCAGAGATAAAATTTGTAACCTGACTGCAGAACAACTTGAACTGTGCCTTTTTTCACAAAGAAAAAGAAAGTCTTTTGCAGTTCAAGTGCCTATATGGCTCTTGGGCTCATGGGTCCTTTGTACCAGGGCCTTCTAACTCAGGGCAGCCAGGTGAGCTCTCCCTACTTAGACTCTGGCTCTGCGGGAGGTCTGACTCACTCCTCACCTTCCAGCGCTTTCCCCTAGGAGCCTCAGCCAGCAGAGCCAAGGGAGCCAGGGTTCTTGACACAGATGGCACGCAGTCTACATACCTTCATTACCAGGCTGGCAGGCAGCCCCGGAAAGGCATAGAGAAGCACAGCTGGACCAGAGTCAGATGAAACCCACCTTTTTCCAGCACCCATCCCCCTCCCTTTTATTTCATGGCACTGATGAGAGACAACTGTTTTTAACAAACTTTTTTTTATTAGAAAAGTAAAAAATATTGCATAGGTCTTAATACTTGAACATCAAGTGTATTCATGAACAGCAAGTATCTTCATGTAAACAGTTCTAGATGGAAGACCCAGATAGTACTCCTCTGGGGGAGGGGTTCCAGCCCCCACCCCAATCAGACCCATCCCCTCACAGTTCAGCCCTTCAGGACACATCTGGGGATGGGCCAATCGCAGCTCCCAGGTGTATTTTCTCTTCAAGTGTCAAAGATCCCCAAGTGATCCTAACACCCACCCCTTCCTACTCTTACATTCATGCGTCTGTAAGATAGCTGCCTAGAACAGGTCAGTAGTGAAGTTCTGATCCAAAAAAAAAGGATACAAAAACAAAGAACATTTGGCCCCTTCAGACCATGAGATACACAAACCACCTGGATGTCCTCCCCCCTCCCACCAGGGCCAGCTACCATGAACACACATCCTTTGCAGAGGCCAGTGCAGCCCAGCTGCTCTCCTGGCTGTCACACCACTGTTGTCTTAACTGTCAGTAACAATAAAAATAAGGTACATGCTACAATACACATCCAGCCAGAAGCCTGGTTGGCCCCTAAGCCTTTGTTTCATGCTACAGTACTGAGGGGCATGTGTCCCCAGGTGGGAGCCACCGCACACACCTCAGTGAGCTTCCTAGGGATACACCACGTCACGCCCACCTCGACCTTCCTCCTCTCAAGTGGCTGTTGTCAGTTTTCTAACGACAGGCATCAGTCCCTCAGCTTCTGCCTGCCAATGTCCACCCCAAGAGTTCAACTGTCTCTGCCATGGGGGCAGTGCCGGCCCCCCAGGCCCAAGTTCAACACTCCTCAATGAGCAGCTGCTCGGAGCTGTACAGCTTCTTCTTGATTACTCGGAAGCCGGTGCTCAGCGTCAGGGACTGGCTGAAGCCAGGGACGAAGGGAGAGTTGGCAGAGCTAAACAACCCCTGGATCTTGGGCCAGAGGCGTGAGTCCAGGCGCAGCACGAGGGTCAGCTGGAAGGTGGGCACCAGGCTGGGGTCGAGGGCCAGCTGGCCCACGCTGTGGCAGCTCTTGCCCTGCTCTACGCAGACGTCCAGCAGCGCCCCCCGCAGGCCGCACGGCTCGCTGTAGGACAGGCGCAGTAGTTCTTTGCCCACCTGGCTCACCAGCTGGCCGGGCATCAGCAGGCGCGCGGGGCGCCGCGAGCCCAGCCGTGCCTGGGCCAGGCTCTCCTGCAGCAGCTGCATCAGGTTGGCACACAGATGCTCATCCTCGGGGTCGCTGAGCAGCTCGAAGTCGGGCAGAGACACTCCATCCAGGTATGCAGAGTCTGGAACGGAAAGCACAAAGGGAAGAAGGGGGTAAGAGCAGCTCCAAACGCGGGAGGTGCTGTTTCACTAAGAAACCAGCGCTCCTTCCCACTCCGTGCCTCAGTTTCCGCCCCACACTCGTACCCTATTCTCCTATTCCCCTCCTTTGCCCGCCCCCCTCCGCAATCTGGGTTCGGAGAGATAGAAAGCCAAGGTGGCTTTGACTCCTTACAGCGCGGTGCTTTCTCACCTTCCCGGCCCCTCTAGTCGCGTCCGGCCCCCGCCTCTGGCTTACCTTCCTCTGGCCCAAAGCCACTGTTGCTGCTGTCCAGGGACTCGCAGTCCGAGCTCTCCAGGCTCGCACAGCGGCCAAGCCCCTCTTCTCGGGCCGCCGACCCCCAAGCTGAGCGAGGCGGCTGATCTGGGGTGGGAGTCCGGGACAAGGACGAGGATGAAGAGGAGGAGGACGACGAGAAGCGATCCCAGAGGCTAGGCATGGTGAGGACGGACGCCAGGACGTTTGCAGATGAGCTCACGGTGGTGGAGCGTAGAGACACTGTAAGACAAGAGCGGCAGGGACCGAGCGTCAGTCTGCGGGCCAGACAGGACTGCGAGAGCTAGGACTCCTAGACTGAGGCCTCTGTGCTCAACGATCAGCACACACATAAGGGACACTCACCAGCTAGCACGGTCAGCGAGAACTGCTGGGACAGGTGCGAACTGCTGCTTGAATGGGTGCGCGAACGGGTGCCAACCCCCGAGCTCTGCCCAGACCTGTCCCTTCTTCCCACCCGCACCTCCCCCTCGGCCTGCCGCGGTCCCTAGCACCAGAGCCGAGAGGCCTATAAGGACTAGCGCGGGGAGGCCACACCCCTTCCGCGCCGCAACCCAATCCAGACCCGGGAGTGTGGCCCACTTCAGCCAATGGACTCCGGGCGCACGTTCGCAACGTTCTCTCCTGCCCGGTGACAGCCGCCTGGCCCCGCCCCCGTTGAGCCCCAGAACTCTCCCGGCCGAACCCCCCAGCTGCAGCCACGCCCCCTTTCTGGAAGCGATCCTCAGCGGCTGCAGCTGCCAAGGTCCCCGAGGGCGCTCGCGTCAGGGGAGGATCAAGGAAAGACTTGTTTATTATAGGGTCGTGTTGCTGGGGGAGGGGGTAAGCCGCAGCCACTCCGGAGGAAAGACAGGGGAACTTGAGGGGGCAACAGGCAGGGAAAACGGTTGCTCCCAGCGTCCGGAAGCCTGCGAGCTACGGGCACGACTGGGCGCACGGGTGGATGCCCGTGGGACGGCGGCGCGGGGAGCGGACTATAACTCGGACGGCTCTCGCACACGTACCCCACGTTAACCCTGCCTCACGAAGGGTAGGGATTTGGGGGTGGGGTCCAAAGCGTAGGCAGTTCCGGGCACCGGGCTCCCCTTTCCGGGCGGGTCCACCTGCCCGCCCACGTGTTACTCTACAGCCCCTGGGGATGGGTTAATGGGGTTGTTCGGGCCCGCGATATGATCTTGGCCCCCAGACCGTGTCCACTCCCACCCTCCAGCTGCGTCCAAGAAGAGGATTTGAGGAACGTGGTTAAAGGAGTATTGACGGGCCCCCATTCCGAGCGCTTGGTCCTGGAGCTGGGGACTGGGACCCATATCAGATCCACACACAGACCCGCCCGCCAGCGCTACTGACCCACCGCCTTAACGGCGGTGCCTTCCCGGCCTGCTGCGGCCAAGAGGCCCCGGGTATCCTCTGGGTCCTAGCGCCCCTCTCTGCCAAAACGCTTTGTGTAAAAGACCCTGACAGTTGCATCAGGACCGAGGACCTATATCTCGGGGAAAGCCCCATAGTGCAATCGCCATCTCCTGTTTCGTCATTCAGGCAGGGCCGCAGGAAATCTGACCCTACGGCGGTGCTCGAAGACTGTGATTGCTGAGGGTGGGAAGAGGTTCAGACGGATTCGACCTTTACTTATTTAAAGGTTTGTCAATCTGGGACGCAGGATCCTGATGGAAGAGAGAATCAAGCTTACATCAGACGCTCCCATCCCAGGGCGGGCAAGAGCCTAACCAGATCAGACTGGCAGGCCTCGCCTTGGGGCAGACTTGCACGTAACCAATGACACTTGCCTGCCGGAGGAGTCGGACCACAGCCTTCCACACCCCCCCCCATTTAAAAAAAAAAAAAAAAGGCTGACCCATGGACCTTCCAGGCAAACCAAGACTCAGAACTGTAAACGACCAGAATTGAAACCCTGCACCCCACCCCAATTTTCCAGATGGGAGAACCATCTCTGGAGACAAATTTATGGATTAAAAAATAGAGGACTCAGATTAGGAGATATCTTTAAGACTGATGCTGAATAAAATAGTCTCTCAGCCACTGGGGCTTTCAAGGCCTGAACACTGGCCCTTTAGTCCTATCCTCCAAGCCCCAGTCACTTGCTGGGAGTCTAAAGACACCAAGCCATAGCAGTTAGGCAGATGCTTGGGGGGCGGGGGTGGTGGTGGTGGTAGATGACAGTCTTTTGAAATCACCCTGTATTGAGGTGGGAAGAAAAGAGTTGGGGTGACCTGTTTGGGTGTGTCTTTCTGTCACTCAGGACTGAAGATCAGGAAATTAATACATCAGAACTATTCACTCCTCCCAGGCCAACTGAGCTGGGGACATCTGAAACAGCAGGAGATAAACTTAAGGTGTTTTTGTTCTCTCTCTCTGGCATGAAAAAAAATTTTTTTTTCAGATAAGTGTGGAACACTAAGAAAAATAGAGGTTTTTAAATAGATATTTCATAAGCAGAAGAATCCAGAGCCATTTTGGAAAGGTCGGTTTACTAGGAATTATTCATTCATTCAATAGATAGCCATCACAGAAGCAGTGTGCTAAGCACCTTTTTTTCATTCACTTATTCTGTCTCATTCTGTTAATAAAACAGCTTCTCATAATTGGGAGGGACTGTGTTAATGGGCACTGGATAATTTTGTTTCTTTCCAAAAGTAATCCATTAATGTTGTCTCATTGTTTTTAAGAAATGATGGAAAAAGGACAGGTCGTCTTAACTGTGGAGATTCCTCTCACAGTAGAAGAGGGTGGGCTACAGGGTAAACAACAACCTGCTAGGAGGTCTGGCTGCAGGGTGTTGAGGTTCGGGGGCTAAATGGCTTCCCCAGTGACACTCTTCACCCCTATGAAGGAGGGGCAAAGCCTTATACCATTGTCTGCCAGGAGAACCTTTGGACCTGGAAGGACAGTTTCTTAACTGTTAGCCCCTCCAAGGAGCCAAGTTTAAGGGTCTTGTTTCATCCTATGAGGTGAAGGGTAGGATCCTTTCCAACTGACTGGGGCTGGAAAGACTTTGTTACCATCTCACACACCTGTCTCCGCATTGATGCACATGGGATAGGGAGACCCTAAAACGTGGCACCCGTGAGGAGGAGACAGCTCCATCTCCTAGCCTCAGAGCCAGGCCTCTTCAGAGCCTTCAAAGACCCTAAGAACACTGCATTTGGTGTGCTTCTCTCTCCCTCAGGCCTAGACTGGCTGCAGGTCAGGCTTGCCTGGACATGTTCCCACCAGCAGCCTTGGAGACCCAGCTCTGGCATCCCTTCCTCCAGGAAGCCTTCCCCAGCGCCCCCAACCCAACTCACCCTCCTGTAGGTGCCCCTCCTCATGGCATCCTCACACCCCATGTGTACTTCTGTTAATAACTATTATGAGCTTCTTGAGAGTGGTGGTCTACCCTTCCTAACTTCCAGAGGCCAATGCATAGTGGAGGCTCAGTGAATATTCCTTGGATGAATAGATGAATGAATAAACAGATGACTGGATGAAAGAAGAAAAGGTGGATTTTCCTAGAATTGCAGACCCACATCTGGATTCCCAGGATCTAGTTGGCCTTTGGAGTGGGCCTTCAGAAGACCTCAACGCTATCTTTCTATTCACTTTCTGTCTAGTGCTGCCAAGAGCCTTGGCTGTACCTGAATATTTCCCTTCCTCCTCAGCCCAGGTCTGGGAGTGGGGCTTCTAAGGCAACCCAGTTCTTCCTGTTGGATTATAGTTAGCAACCCCAGGAAGTAGGGAGAGAGGTGACATTGTGCAGAAGGCTGATTTGTAGGGAATCTTTTAAAACAATTAGTACTTTCCATTTGAGTGTCTCAACTACTTTAAAAAAATTTTTATTGAGATGAAATTCACATATAAAGTTAACCATTTATAAAAGTAACAAAAAGTCAGTGGCATTTAGTATATTCACAATGTTGTGCAACCAACACCTTTATCTAATTCCAAAATATCTCTATCATCCCAAAGGCGACCCTGAACCCATCAAGCAGTTACTTTCCTCAAAATACTTCTGAAGTTTATATTCCCTTGTTGGTAGGAATAGGACTACCCCTTTGCACAACTTCAGAGGGCACCATTCTCATTATAGTCTACATATTTACATATGTCTTCTGGGGAAAGCATTTGTAACACAGACACAGTGTGCAACATGGAATCTACATCAAGACAGATGGGGAGATTGGCTGAACTCTGAGCAGGAGTGTGGTAGTGTCACGTCCCTGGTGACTCAGGAGTTGGTAACCAGGCCCCATGTCCCAGTCCCTGTGGCCAGAGCCCTGACCATACAGACACTCAGCCTCTTCCCAGGCTCTGCTCTATTCCCGTAGGACCCACAGCAGCCTGCAATTTAAAGTCAATGAGCACTTACTCCTGGCCACCTGCCCCTCCCTGTTCTGGCAGTTTCTGTCCTGCGCACCGGTTCCCAGGGCCTCGGTCTGGCGAGTCGCCCTAGTCGGGTTTGGGGAGTTAAACCAGATCTTGGGGTGGGAGTGTGATTCTGGGAACCCCGGAATTCAGGATGGGAACCCCTGAAGGCCAGCCAGGGTGCCTGCATGGCTCTGCCTGAGGCGCCTCCACAGCCTTTTGGAAACATCTCATTGAGGGTAGTGGAGGTGGTGGGAGGAGCCAGCTGGGGGGGAGGGGGGGAGTGGTGGTGGGAGGTGAGGACAGTGAAGCCAGCAGAAGTGTTCCCAGGACTTCTGTGGCTTTTTCACTTGAAAAACAAGAAATAACTTAGTCAAAATAGCAAGATTATAAGTGCACCTGGTTTATTAGGAGGGTTCTGAAAAGCTGTTGACAGCCCAGGGCTTCAGTAGGATTTTGATTGTGATATAGGAGGAAGAATTAAAACTTCAGTAGAGAATCTTTTTGCAAATGAAGCTACGTTTTGAAATGGAAATACTAGCAATACATTGTATGGTGCAGCCTTTCAAAGAAACTTTTGAAATGGATTATCTACTTACCCCCAGAGGAATGAATATTAAGGCCATTCTACAAATGAGCAAATTGAGGCCCAGAAGGAGAGTCCTGTAATCCTTCGATTAACTAGGGCCTTTCAAGCCCAATTGATAATTAGAATCATCTGTGGAGCTTGTAAACCACAGCATCCCATCTCCCTAACCCCTATTCTGATTTGGTAGGTCTGGATGGAGCCCTTTTGTACGAAAGCTCTCCAGGTGATCTTGATGCTCATCTTTAGCAGGGATGTGTGCACACTGACATCTCAGAAGGAAAGATGGGTCCTGGAAGGAATGCGGGGTTGGGTCCTAGCCTATCAAAGGGCCTCTCTGTGGGCTGGGGGTGGCTTAGGGCTGGGTGAGATGGCATACGGTCAGGGAGATTAGGCCCACGTGTGATAATGGTGAGCTCACAGCCAGCCAGTTTGGCTAGGCTCCTAGATTTCACAAGAAGTCATTTCCCCTGGGGACAGGGCAGGGGGAGAGGGGACCACAGAAAGGGCTGGCTTGATAACCGTCAAGACAATGGATGAGGGTTTCGAGAGCTAGGCAGGAAGCCTTAGGATTCTGACAGACCTCCGGTTATCCCCACAGTGTTGAAGGCCTACCAACCTCCACTGCTCCCCCACCTCATTGCCCACTCAGCCAGAGTTGTCCTAGGGACCCAGCCAGACCCCAGGGCACTGTCTTTTTTTCTCACTAACTGGACTGCTCTCAGGAAGAAATCTCATCTGTGGGGCCAGTTTTGGCCAGCTTCCCACAATCCCTCTCCCATCCTGGCTTCTGAACTCTTGTGAGGGAAGAGAACAGTGAAGTGGAGGGATGCTGAGGCAACACCCCTCTCCCAGTGGTACCCAAAACCTAGGCTAAATGGCTTTCAGAGGCAAGCCCAGGCCCTGTGAGGGGACAGGAGTCAGCTGACCTGAGTTCAGACTGACTGCTAAGGGTGAGTAGGGTTCTGGGCTGTGACCCAATGCCACCCCTAGGAAGTATAACGTGTCTTTGAAGCCATTCTTTTTATCACAAAGTCATTATTTTTATCATCAATAATGAAGTCTTGCATTCTACTTTATTTTTTTCTGTGTTAATTTTATTAACAAACTTTAAAATTACCAAATAGTTAATTTACTTAGTCACCCCCGAAAAAAAACCCTTTTAATAAAAATAAAGATGACAACATTTAACCTATGGCTTCATATACCCCAGTTTTGAAAACTCAGAACTAGAGAATCTCAAAGGATTATTCAACCTCCACCAGGATCGTAACAAAGAAAAAAGACTTAAGTTCTATGCAGCTCCTTTTCTAAAACTCCCAGGCCTGGACCGTGAGGTGGTAGACCATCTGGAGGAGGCCTGACAGGGGAGGTAGAAACAGACGTCCCAGTTCCAGCCCTTTCAGTGTTCTTGCTTTTTGAAGGTTTCCAATTGCCATATATCAAACGGAGGGGCGGGGTCAGGGTGGGCATTGTTCATCAAGCCAGGGGCGGAGTTGGGGTGGGGGATGACAAGGTTGATCAGAAGCTGCTACAGTGGGGACAGCCTGAATCCAGGCTTGCTGCCTGCCTGGACAGCAAAATGAGCTCACTCTTTTTTCCCCAGAGAAGAGAGACCAGGAGGGTTGGCCAGCCTCTGGGTACCCTAAGGGGCTGGGTTGAGTAGGGCTGGAGTTATGCTCAGCAGAGAGGGAAGTCAGCCCTCTCACTGCCAGGATTCTTCTGGCAGTGGAATGAACCTTAAAATCTTTGAATGTTAGGGCCAACAAGCTCTGGGAGAGCATCTCTTCCAGCCTCCCCCACCCCACCCACCTCCCCCTTTTAGGGACAAGGAACTAAGCTGGAGAGCAGGGAGCTTTATAGGGTGCCCGTGATCTCCCATTCTCCCAGGAGTTAGGCCTCATTCACTCTTCAGGAACTTTCTTTTCCCAAGCTTGCAACTGCTTCCTCACCCCTCTGCCAAGTCTCTAACCTTACTCAGAAACGCCTTAGTAGCCAAAGGCTTGGGAAACTTTGGTCTATGCAAAAGGCAGCCGCCCATTGTCTGCATCCTTGGTCTCTGGCTGGAACTCCATGGCTGGCAGAGGATGGGAGCTGCCAGTTCCACCTGGAAACTTTGCCACTTCCTCACAAAGATCTTTGACCTTTCTGGAGCTCTTTATGGTTTTAAAAACACTCCTATGTCCTTTACTATTTTCGTAGCTCTGTCAATAAAAATAACATACTTGCGTAGTATAGATAGGACAGGTCTCATCAGTGTCGTTTTACAGGTAAGAAAACAGGTTCAGGTGGGTGCAGGGACTTGCCTAAGGTCACACAGCCAGTCAGCAGGCCTGGGCTGTGACTCTAGATCTAGACTCATTTCCTTGATTCCAAGCCACTGATACTCTTAGTTGTGAGCCAAAGGGGGCTGTATGGCTGGAAAGGGGGGTAGTACACACTGGGAAGTGGTGATGTAGAACAGGTGGAGTGAACACCTGGCGTCCATATGGAGTTGTTGATAAAAAACTTTCTCTCCTGGGTTGGCCTTTGTTTTATCTGATCAGGCTCTTCCTCCCCACTGCAGAATTCAGCCGGGCCCAATGCTGACTCAATGCAAGGCACACTGTCGCCCAAGGGGTGCCCTTCAGCTAGACCACCTCAGGCCCAGAAGTGACAGTGATTCCAACACATCCTCCCTGAGAGCTCCAGTATCCTCTAGGGCCACGTGGGACGTGGTGCGCCAAAAGAGGGGCCTCTCCCCTCCTCCGAAACTCCCCTTTTTGTAACCCACAAAGGACAGACTTTGGTGTAGAAATCCAGGAGCCACGGCTGAATCCTTTAAAAATCAAATACAGAGAAAAACAAAAAATTCTAGCTATCTAGGTTCTGCTCTGGGAGGAGGTGCACACAGGATCTGAACCGACAGCCCCGCGGTGGCTGGTCTGCAGTGGGGCCAGCCAGGATGGGGGAAGGGAAGACCCCCTGCTCCCTCTCCCTTCCCCTCCCACCCCCCAGCCTCGTCCGATGTGCGCCCTCAGGGGAGCCCGGCCGTGGAGGTGACAGATGCTGAGCAGCTGACCGGGGGGGTCTGTCTCCGCGGACCCCCTGATTGTAGGGGGGAAGCGGGGACGTGACTTGGAGAACGTGCATCTGGAGGACGAGATGAGGGGGGATGGAGGGAAAGTTGGACAGAGGGGAAGGGCGGGACTAGCCTTGGCCCCGCCCTCCCCTGGGAGAAAGGAGACTCCTCCCACCGTCCGAGAGGAAGGCGGCCAGGCCGCGGAGATGCTGAGCTCAGCTCTTCAGTCGCTGGGCTGCTGAATGGGGGCAGGGCGAGGGGCCGGCCCCTTTCTGGTGCGGGCAGAAAGAGGGGGAGGGAGGAGAGGCTGAGGAGGCCCTCACAACCCTGAGGCTGTAACTCTCCTCCAACCCGATCTGCTAACAAAGCGGTCTCTGTTGGGGTGGGGGAGGCCTCCTGGGTGCATGGAGAACCTTATGGGGGTGGGCGGGGGAGTGTCTGTGAGTCAGCGCCCTAAACACTGACTTAGACCCAAGAACCCACGTCAGAGAGGCCGAGACCTTGTGCCCTCCGACCCCAGGATTTGTTTGGTGGAGGGAGTGCAGGGAGTAGTGCCTGCCGCTGTGGGGCTGCAGGTCTGAACTGCCCCGCCGGCTTTTAATTTAAGGCAACCTTGTAAAAAGCAAGGAAGATCAGCTTGGGAGGGAAAGGAAGAAAACTTTTTGGACCCACTTGGCACAAATGGTTACCCAGGCCAAATGGGTGGGTGGCTATTTTTGAGCTGACCTACATACCTATTTGCCTCTTTATCTTTTTATTATCACACAGGGCTGTTATGAGAGCTTTTCTTTAGCACTCCATGAAGCTGCTGCATTTGCTGAGGTCTGCACAATGAGGCGTGTTGCCTCACTCTCCCAGGAAGTTTTAAGAGTCTCTGGCTCTGGAAAGGAAGACATCCATAGACCTGCAGAAGCTGCCACCAAGCTCTTTCCCAAGGAACAGAATTCAAACCCTGATGCTCCAAGTCTAGAGCTGGCCAGCCCTGGAGGCCAGGAATGATATTCAGATTTGGCAACAATGTTCCTGGGTTTTGCCAAGGCAGGCCTAAAGCTCCCTGGGCCTAGGCCTCATTGCCTGCCAAAGTTCACCTGTGGTCCTGGGGTTCCACGCTATGGCAGGTGAGGCTTCCCTTTACAGGTGGAGAAAGTGAGGTACAGAGAAGAGTTGTGGACAGAGCTGGTTTGGATTTTACTGCTTTGATTGTGGAGGTAACTCTGTTATCTTAAGTAGAAATAAGGAGAGCCTGGAACTTTCTATTTGTTTTACCTTTGTTCAGCTTCACTAAAGCCTCCCTCTCCAACCTTTTAATAGCTCTCCACTGCCTTTAGAGCAAGTCTGGCTCCTTACCTTGACCTTGCCACCTTCCAGGGCAGGCCCTTGTCTATCTCTGGCTTCATCTCCCTCCCAAAGCCAGGAGGGGAAAATCACATATGGTTCTAATTACCTCTGAAATGCTCTTAAACTTTCCATAAAGTACAGTATGCATGGCTTTATGTATACAAGTTTGCACAGTAATATATATGTAGATGTGCAAAATATATACAGCCTCCTACAGTGGGTCATAAAGAGAACATCAACAAAGTGTAAGCATGTAATTTACAGTATTTTTAATCATGCTAAAGAGAAACAGACACATAGATTTGGAAGTGAGACTGGCAGAGGTAACAACAGATTGCTGTCTTCTCCCATCTGGTACCCTCTCTGGGGCATAAAGTCCTTGGCCCCAGGGAGGAAAAGAGGGGATGATGGTTGCACTCCTTAAACTGCTCTTTTTGGCTTTTTCTTTCAATGCTGGCATAATTGACTTCGCCCAGGTTCCCTGTGCCCTGTGGGATGCTTTGCTCTGTGGTCTCAAGTATCCTCCCAGCTTGCTCCCATTTCACCCTGATTACTTGTCCCAGATGCCCTTCTAGCTCCTTCTGACTCATATGCCAAGCTAATCTCAACTCAGGGCCCTTCAGGAGTCCCCTTTGAACATACTTGGGAAGCTCCAAGTTCCCAGCCAGGGAGTGCAGGGCAGGGAATCCAGCCCAGACCGGCTTGCCTTTGACGCCAGTGCTCAGTTCGCTGTGGGCGAGTAGTTCTCTTCTCACCTGACGTATATTGAAATGATTCTATCCTGGGTCTAATGCTCCATCAGATTGTAAACTCTTGCAGAGTTCAGGTATTTTAGATCTTTAAACACCCACCACCACCAGCACCACCACAACTCCTGCTAATACAATCACACCCCTCTCCACCTCTATATATTAGATACATATGGTATATGCTCAACAAGTATTTCACCCAGAATTGGATGGAACTAGAGCTCACCTGTGACTCAAGGTCAGTGTGATGTCAGTGAGAACTCTCCCCTGACCCCTGTCAGGCAGGGGGACTTCTGCTTCCCCTGAACTTTGATAGCATGTATTATTGTCACAGAAAGTTGCAACTGAAAGGAGGATTTCCCTCCTTGTCAGTTGAGAAGACTAAAGGGAAAGTGGCTGGAGTGGCCCAGCATGGGAACCAGATCCCATGGTCTGCTGGCTTCACTGGCCCTCTCTGCCCTCCGCCTCATCACCTCTTCAGAGAGGCCTTCCCTGGGGGCCCCATCCCTTCTCCTCTGTTGTTTCTTTTGAAAGCGTTCATCCCATAAGTACTTATATATGTAATTATTTGAGTGGGTGTACATGCCTGTCTTTCCCACTAAACTGCAAGCTCCAGGAGGCCAGGGTCTGTATCTGTCATCTGTTTCCTCCTGGAGCTCCAGTGCCCTGCGCAAAGCCAGGGCCACAGAATTCCCAGCAGATATATACATGAGAAGAAAGAACAAGTATCCGGGTGGCCTGAACCTCCTTACACTTCCCCAGAGCAGCAAAAGTGCAGAGTTGATAGGCCTCGGGCTCCTTGTCAGGACCTCCAAACACCTTGTCTTGGATTTAAGACCTCAGAGAGGAGATAAGGCCCCTCCATGAATAACCATAACACAAGGAAGATGGCTGACCTGCGAGTGACAGTTGGGCTGGGTGTTGCAGTCGAGCAGTGGTGTGGGAGGCAGGTCAGAGGTTCGAGATGTGAGGCCGGAAAAACTGAAAACCATCTGAGCATCCTTGGCAGGAAAACGGTTAAACTCGAGTACCTCCATATCATGGAGTATTAGGTGGGTGTTAAAAAGCATGAGGTCAGTTTTGGAAAAATGCCCAAGATAAATGTTGTTAGGTAAAAAGAACAAGCTGCAGAACAATTTGTATCCTCTAATCTCACTCTGAGAAAAAAACAGAGGTTACTCCCCTGCAGATACACACTTAACATGTGCAGAGAAAATGTCTAGAAGGATCCTGGAAAACATATCCACAGAGCTTATCTCTGAAGGGATGGAGGGGAGAGAGAGGCTTTTGCTTTTTCACTTTATATCTTTTTTTGAGGTTAAAAAGTAAGATTACCTTTATTTTGCACTATAAAAACACTGGATATTGGATTTTACCATGAGCTCATATTACTTTCACAAGAGTTTTCTGGTTTTGTTTTTTGCTGTTGCAGGATTGGGGATGGGGGTGGGAGGTGGGGGTGGATTGCAGCGTGGAGACTGGGTGAGAAGTACTGCAGCGCCAGGGGCACTGACAGGACCTGCACAGACGATGACTGGAGGGTCTGAGCCGGCTCTGTGGTTCCAAATGGGGAGAAGTGGTGATTGCTGTGGAGATGGACCGTGGGAAGCACAGTGCAGTATATGGGGGCTCATTCAAGGTGACTGACCTCACCAGTGCCCGTGACCCTGGACAGGGGACAAAGGAGCCCAAGGCCAGGAAACCTTGACTTACTTTTGACTTTTGGAAACATGGGCAAGGAAAAGAATATGGTCGACCTTTAGGACCCTGCGGATTCCTTGGCTGTTTCTGGATCCTTTGGGTACAAACCGTTCTGACTGCAACTTGGAAACAAACAGAGCTAGGAGGGGCCGAAGCCACAGCCGGCAGGAGGAGCCCGCCTTCCAGGGGCGGGCAGGCCGCCGAAGTGGTGCTGCCTGGGGCTCTGCCCGCCTCCTGCTTGCTTTTGTGAGCTGCTGTGTAGGCTCAGGTGAAAGGTCAGGGCTTCTGGCTCCTTCTGGAGGCGAAGCCCCTGACCAGGACCAGGAGCAGAGGAAGCCAGAACAATGCTGGTCATGGAGAGTTTGTGAGAGAGGGAGCTGAGTCCGGGTCGGAGAAGTTCCTTGGCTCAGAGGAGCCAATAACAGCCCGGAGAAGGTCAAAGATGAGGAATGTTCTGTGATTTCCAAGACAGCAGTTCATTTATCTCCTAAACACTTACTCTGAGCCTGAGTCCAGTTGTAATACTGCCCCCATGCAAGCTGGTTAAGAACCCCTTTCGGAGGTTCTGTTTTAGGAGTTGCATATTCAGGTCTCTCCACAAAAGCGCCTGGGAAAGGAAGGAGGGAGACGTCTGCCCTCCACCATGGGGCACTTTCCCAGGTATCTGTTCAGTCATCAGGACAACCTTCTAAAGGCAGTATTCTTTTGCAAACCAGGAAACTGAGGCTGGGGAGGATGGTGCTTTGCCTGTGACCACATGGTTAGGAAGTGTTAAAACGGATTTGAACCTGGGTGTGCCTGTGTCCCACTTATAATTTGGTTGCTTGGAGCTCGGGACACATTTTCCCATCAAAATAATGCTGTAAGTGGTGGTTTGGTCACCATAATGGCCTAGCTCACCCAGGGTATAGCCAGAATTAATTCTACGTTTCAGTGCGGTGGTGGATGAATCAGGCTTCTGCGGGCTAGCCTGGAAACCCACAGGAGAGGGAAAATGCATTTGAGGGTGTGCCCAGCTGGGAACTCTTGCCCTGACTGTAGCTCCTGATTCAGGGCCAGCAGGGAATGCGGTGGCTCACGGAGCGCTTGTCCATTTCCAGGGCTGTTACAGCAAGCCCTGCTGAGTTCTAGCACTTCACAGGAGCGGGCAGAGCACTTGGCAGGTTTGGCCTTTCTAAGACAAGGAGTTATATGGGAATGTGCACGGATTTTCAGACTCTGCACATCTTCCTCTGTAGTCTTCCTCGTACTGCCTCAGCCTCCTGCAGTCATCTTGCATCCCCATCCTCTAGGATAGAGCACTAAAGGCAAGATCTAGGGTTCATTTTTCACGACTAAATCTGGTGTCTGCCGATGAAGTTAGTGGGCGAGAATGACTGCGCTGGGTTAGGAGTGATGGAGAGCAAAGCAGCTGCCGAGAGAAGCAAAGATCCATGAACGCTTTCAGAGGGACTTCAGGGAGAGCATTCTCTCATCCAGTCAACAAACATCTGTTACGGGTGTGCTGGACACTGTCCTTCTTCTTTTCATGGCACTTCTGTTGCCAAAAGTATCCTAGGCAGGACTGACTGTGGGTCTCAGATCCAGAATCTTAGCAATGGAAGAAATCTTTTTCTGGATGTAAAGTGGTGTCATTCATTAATTCAGGAAGGTCTGAGTGTCAGGCTAACTACTGAGAATACATAAAGCAGGAAAACTGAAGTGTAGAGGGAGGTGGAAAGTGGCTTGCCTGGTATCTCAGTCCAGGGTCCCAGGGTACTAGCTTGGACTAGCACCTGCCCCTTCTGGCCACACTCATGGCCTTCCCGCCTCAAGATATATCCCAGTCGTATTTTGGGATTCCTCTGGTTTGGAGTCTCGGGCCTGGGGGAAGGCCACAGAGTAGTAGTAGAATTCCTTTCTCAGTGACAGTACCAATTCCCGGGCTCTCACCTGGAGTGAGAACTAGATTTGCCCCTGGTGGGGTTCAGAAGACATAGGAGACTTTTCTCAGTTGTTTCAGTGAGCCACCTGCTCTCTAAACTCCAGGTCTTTACAAGCACCCCTACCCCTGCCTGAACCTCCCTCTCCCAGCTCCTTCATCTCGAGGACTTTTCTGGGCCCCCAGTGTCCTTAGGTCTCACAGCTCTGCACTCACCCACCATACCCTGGGCTTCCCCTCGGATAACCCTGGAACCTTGGGATTGTTCTTGCTTATTAAATGCAACTGTGATCTCTAGGAGGGGCAGACACCATGGCTATCTTTCCTTTGTACATTTGTTTTTAGCAATTGTGTGCCCTTTATCAACCAGTGCTTAGTATACAGTAGGTGCTCAATGTGCAGTTGTGAATGACTGTAATCCATAATTAAAGGCAAGGCCTTCCTTCAGGTCATTCAACAACTGTTTATCAAGGACCAAGGACCAGCACACACACAGGATACAGAGGTGACTGGGAAACAGAGGCTTACCATCTAGTAGAGGAATTGATCATCCAGAACCCTGCAAAAATCTCTTCTAACCATAGAGCCTCCACCTGCTCCTAAGTTCCCTCTTTTTCTCTGCTGGTCCACTGATTCTTGGCTACTTGGCCTGGAGCCCAGCATATACCTCTGAGTTCCAGGACCCTACCTAGGCATAGAACAACCCAGGCCTGGTGTGGAGCTGCACACGGGTGCTGGTGGGAGGTCCATCCAGGGAGCTCAGGCACAGAGTAGACAGGTTCCTCTGGACAGCTCTGCACCACATGCCTGTTTTGGAGAATTTGTTAAGAAATCACCTTATTCTCAAAATTTGGAGATAAACCGATGAAGGCAAAGGCCTAGATTCATTTCAAGGACTTGAAGTGATGGTCTCAAAATCAGTTCTCCCTAAAGTGTCAGAAGACCTGGGTCCCAAAACCTTGAATACTAACCTTGGTTCCTTCCAGTTTTCCAGAGCCTCAGTTTTGTCATCTAAAGGATGTTTTGTCATGAGGGACATGAGATGCTGTTACGTGACAGTGCCAAGTCAAAGATGCTTCAGAAACACAGGATGAATCAGAATGTAAGTGCCCACAGGCTAGTCACTGGGCCCTCACCCAGTAGCGAGGACACGATGGAAGTGGTCTCCCGAGGTCCTATAGTGGGCTTCACGCAGTGCAGGTGAGCCAAGGCGGAGGCTGCGTGCAGGCAGCACTAGGACCCAGGGGCCGAATCTGGAGCCAGCTCAGCTGGGTAAATTCACAGCCAGAACACAATGTTCTCAGTGTACCCACAGGAAACCCTGAAGAGGAGAACTGCACATGGCCTTCTGCTGGGTGTGTTCTAGTCCCAGCCTTTTATTCTTTTTCCTAACCTCAGTCCCCACTTTCACATCCTGTAACCTGCAGAGCTGCCTGCCCCACCCCGCTGGGCTGGTCCCAGGCCCCGGGAGAGCAATCAATGCAGGAAGCCCAAAGGCTGGCTGGCCTTCACAATTTTCAAATAAGACCATTCGCCTCTAACCTTGGTTTCCTGAATCGGCCCTTTGTGTTGGAAACTTTTCACAGTGCGGAAGGCAGACACCGGGGACAAAGCTGAGCTTCTAGCTGAGGCGAGGGTCTTGGCTCAGATGCAGGGAAACAGCTGATGCCTCTGAACCACCTCCTCCCTTCCTCCCTGAAGGCCAGGCCCCACCTGGGACGGGGCGAGGGCCTCCATGGCTGCTGCAGAAATCAGAAGGAGCTAGGAGCTGCCTGAGGAACCAGGGCCAAGTTTGGAGCAGAACATCCTATGATGTGGTTCCTAGTTTTTATTTCCACGAATGCCATAATATGTTGTCCCACCGAGCTATTTTTATTGAATAAAAAAAATTTTTTTAAAGCAAACCTCTGCAAAACCAACAGCCCTCTGTTACAGGGAAGGACAAGGTGAACTTTTCACTTCCTTCCCCCAGCCTATCAACTCATCTGCGGTTTGGTGTCACCCACACTTCCGTACTATATTCAATCTCAATTGTGGCCTCCTTGTTTTCGAAGCTGCAAGAGCAAGACTCTCAAACCCATGTTGTTTCTGCATGTTGCATGAGACTTTCAAGAGTCTTCTTAGTGAGTTCTTGCAAAATGGAGACCCTGCCAGATGCAGCCTTGAGGCAGAGGCGGGCCAGGAGAGTCAGCAGTGAGGCAGAGTCTGTGAGAAGCTGGCACTGGCTACCTGCACCGCTGGGGGCGCCGGATGAGGAGAACAGCTCTTGCTTTATGACACATGACATATCTGCCTCCTTAATGAGGGGCCCGGCCTTGAAAATAACCCCAGTGCTTAGATTAAGCTCCATTAATAGGGCTCTTTCTACGATGGTGTTTCAGAGTCTTTCCCCAAATACTGGTTTGTAAGAGAGTTTTCGTGTGTCCTCATCCCAGGCCTATAAATAGATTCGACTGGGTGCTACCCAGACTTCTCCATGCTCAGGGATTCCCTTCATGGAGAAGGGGAGCTTCCCAAATCAGGCAGTGATGCTCCTTGGGGAAGTCTGCCCAAAGCTTGTAGCCTCAAAAGACCTGGGTTCTAGTCTTAGTTTTTTCAGTTTGCTGTGTGACCCTGTGCAAGTCACTTTCCCACTTGGGGCTTCAATACTCTCGTTTATAAAAGGAGAGGGTTTGGTTAGACATCACTGTTAGAGGTGGAATTACGTATCTTCTCAAAATATATGTATGTTGAAGTCCTAACCCCAGTATCTTAGAATGTGACCTTATTTGGAGATAGAACTTGATAGAGGTAATCAAGTTACAATGAAGTCAAGCTGGGTGAGCCCCAATTAATAGGACTGGTATCCTTATTTTTTAAAATATATTTTTATTTAAGTACAGTCAGTTTTACAATGTTGTGTCAACTTCTGGTATACAGCACAGTACTTTAGTCATATATGAACATACATATATTCGTTTTCATATTCTTTTTAACCCTAAGTTACTACAAGATACTGAATATAGTTCCCTGAGCTATACAGTATAAACTTGTTGTTTATCTATTTAATATATAGTAGTTACTGTCTGCAAATCTCCAACTCCCAATTTCTCTCTTCCCACCCCCTTTCCCCCCTGGTAATCGTACGTTTGTTTTCTATGTCTGTGAGTCTGTTTCTTGGTATCCTTATAAAAAGGGGACATTTGGACACAGAGACATACAGAGTAATGTAAAGAAACTCCGGGAGAAGATGGTCATCTACAAGCCAAGGAGAGAGGCCTGGAACAGATCCCTTCCGTCACAGCCTCCAGCAGGAGCCAATCATGAGGACATCATGGTCTTGGACTTGTAGACTTCAGAACTGTGAGACAGTTCAGTCTGTGTTGTTTGTCACTCAGTCTGTGTACTGTTTTACGGCAGCCCTAGCCCAAATGAATAGAGGTGCTTAGGCTTCAGCTCTTTGGCTGTGGGATCCTTTCCTGCCGTCTCTTGGTGGCTTCCTCTGCCCCACATGGCCGTTCTGTTACCCTCTCCCAGTGAGTAAATGACATGATGTGTGAGAAGTGCTTAGCACAATGCCCCACAGAGAGTTACCACTCACTCTGTATCCACCATGATGAACATTCTTAAAGAGTTCCCGCTGCCTGGACTTGACTTGTACCGAACCTGAGAGCCTTTGTGCCAAAATGAAGTGTGGGTTCTGAGCTCAGGCCCTCGTGGTCACTCATACCTTCATTATTGAAGCCTTTCCCATCCCCCTCAGCAGCTTTTAAATCGGAGCATATTCAAGTGGCACTTTCCAGGAGACTATTTTTAATGGAAAGCTCATTTTGGCCACACAGTCAGCAGGACTCCAAAGAGACTGCAAAGGTGCAGAATGGGAGACTGCTTCTCTGTTCTTGGACTTGCTGATCCTGGGGTCGGGAGTTGCTGCAGAACTCTGAGGCTAAGCTCTGCTTCCCTATCTGCCTAATGAGGACGCCCCTTGGCTGGCAGCAGAGGGTCAGGCTTAACTACAGGTGCAGCCGGGGCTTGTGCTCCCAGATAGCAAGGCGCTGCCTTCCTCCTTGATCTGCCATCCCTCCTTCTGCTCCTTTTCTAGCTCTCGGAATGAATTCTGCTCTGCACTGAGAGATGGCTTGGGACGATGTCCTGCTTTCCTCCTGGCTCCTGAGTCTGTAGGTCTCCGGAGGCCGAAGCACCTGGTCCTCTAGCTGCAATCTCAGGCTGGGAGAGTCTGATTTTCCTTTTCATGATCAGGAGTGCTTTGAAAAAGCATTCTAGCCTTGAGCATTGAAGCAGGATCACAGAATGAGCCTTGAGTCTTCTCTGGGCAAAGACATTGGTCTAGGATAGAAAGTCCTTGGTTGTCCTCCAGGCAGTATGCTTGACAGCTAAGTTGCCCTGACTTCAGCGACTATTCCAGATTTACTGTATTTTGGAGACTCTGAAGAAAGTTAAGTGGGTAGAGTCTGACTTCAGCAGCCCCTAAACATGACCGCTGGGTTTGCTGAACAGATGAAATGTCCATGCTTGTGTGGTTTATCTTCACATATATGCCTGGAGATTTCTGAGAATAAGGATAGGGAGAGAGGGCGTGGGTGTTTACTTCAGGCCTTCTGGGCCAGGGAAGGAAGGAGGAGAAGCTATCTGTGGGGGAAAACATCTCTCCACAACATCCATATACTTTACATTTGATCCCTGCTGGCTGCCTCTTACCCTGGTTTGGCTCAGAGCCCAGTAGGGAGGCTCCTTCAATAATTCTGAGCTTAGGACATCTGCCTTTCCCTAAAAGTAAGTAAATAAATACAGATCTGTAATTGCTTAGTTTTTTGGTCAGAGCAGACACACTGTTCACCCAGTGGCCTGGAAAGAGCACATGTGGTGCACACCACCTGCCCAAGTGCCTAAGCTTCCCGGGCCCCAGGAGCCTGGTTATTCACCGTGCAAGTCCGGATTCCTGGCCTCTTTCTTAGGTGTACCCTGGCCAGGTCAGAGAAGTGCTCTTTTGATAGAAAGTGGAGCACAGTGAACGAGGCTCAAAACAACCTGGTTCTTGCTTCCTTGTCTTGAGAGATCGCACCACTCCCCTGTTTACACGCTCAGCTCCAGCCACACCAAATGACTCCGAGTTCCACGAATGCGGCCCTGCCTACGTGCGTGCTGTTCCCTGCACTTGGAATGCTTCTTTGGCATCTTCCCTCCAATTCTGACTGACACTCAGGCCCAGGCTCACCTTCTCTAGGAAAATTTTCTTGTCTCTCCCCTGCAGCCTCACCTCCAAGCCCCTTTGGCTTCCATAGCACCCTGTGTAGACCAGAGTCATGGAGTTATGCACTGTGTATATTCCATATGTCTGTTTACTTATCTGCTCTTTCCATTGGTCCAAGAGGTTTCCAAACCTCCCTGCAAGAGAGTCACATGAAACCCCCAACCTTAGACCTATTGGACCCGAGGAGTGAAGCCAGGGTGTCTGTATTTTTATTAAGCTTGATTCTGAGGCACAGCTAGATCTAGGAATTATTGCCCCATCTTTGTATTTCTGTTTCACTGTCTATTACCAGAGACATAGTCTGCCCTCAAGAAGTGTTTGACCCTTCTAATTTCTCTCTGGTAATCTCTTCTTATTTTCACTTCCTTCCCTCACTAGCCCTAGACCAACAATTTTCTTACCTTCTTGCCCTTACCATGTAACACTGTAACCACCAACTATTCATTTTTTCCATTCCTACTGCCAGGCTGCCAGGAGCTGCTGGTGTACTTTCCCAAAGGTTGGCGCCATTGCAAATTCAGGGACTCGAACTGCAAACGGCCCCTGAATGTGCCTGGCAAACCTCTGACCCTGGTCAGCTCTCTCCCATTCTTCACAGGGACCATTCCCAGCCCCACTGTTCCCGCTTCCTCCTGCCCCTGCCCCAGGCCATAGACCATCTTGCCTCCTCCATTACAGAGAAAACAGAAGCCATCTGATGGGAACTCCCTCAGCTTCCTGCCACCTCACCTACACATCCACCCACATCAACACCAGCCTTTTGCCTGCCTTCCCTCTAAAACTCATCACTCCACCTGGGCTGGATCCCATCCCTCCCGCTTTCTCAGGGACCTTATTACACCCTCTTTCTCTCTGACCTCTCCCCAAAACAAACTTCTTAACTGTGTATCCTCCTTTAACTGTCAACTTCTCTGCCCCCTATTTTTGCCTCCCCTTCCCATTGAACTTCTTTAAAGTGTTGCCTAGATTTGGTCCCACATTTTCACCTTCCACTCTCTCTCCCAGCCACAGCAGTCTGGCTCTGCCTCCAGTGTACTGCTAAGGTGGCTGCTCTTGAGACAAGATCACCAAGATGCTCCTTGGTAAAATCCAAAGGCCTTTTCCATTCCTCTCAGTTAATTGCTTGGTTACACTAGATACTGCTGTTTGTAGCAGCCCCCTTCTCAAAATGTCCTTTCCCCTTGGTTTCTGTGATGCCACACTCCTTGTTTTCTGGCTCTCTGGTGACTCCCTGCCAGTTGCTTTCCCAGGCACCTCCTCCCCTGCCTGTCCCTTAGATGCTAGGGTTCCTCGGGCATCCCTCCTTGTCCAATCCTCTTCTCACTCCATGGGCTCTCTCCTGGGGCAATGCCACTCATGCCCACCTTTGATTTCTTATCTCTAGGCTGGTGAGCCCTAAATCTAACTGTAGCCCAGCTCACTCTCCTGAGCTAGAGGCCCACAGAGTCCCCTGCCTATTGGACACCTCCTTGAGCCTGCTCCTCTTCCTATACCCCTGTCTCAGTGAACAGTAGCACCAGTCCCTCAACTGAGACAAGAAATCTGGTTGTCCGCCTGGAGTTCTCCAAGTTTGACCAGTCACCAAATCCTGTATTTGCTACTTCTTGAGTAACTCTCAGATGAAATCTATCCTCTCATCTCCACGTCTGTAAT